ATGTTTTTTTGGAGAAAACGACCCAAAGAGTGACATTTTGCTCATCCTTGGAGCCAAGATCACAAAACAAACACTATATTGCCATTTCTGTGGAGCTATTTCAGTTGATAATGGACATAAATCTGAAACTATAAGCTGCCTACAACTGGGTTATCAACTTTACCAAGACAAACACTCACAAGCCTCAGCAGTTCTGGATGTCAGATATATTGTGATTATGCCTATAAAAACTAAGGTAAAATTCTTTACTTTTGTTATTGTCAGCAAATCCTGTAAACAGACTAAAATCAACAATGTGTTGCTGCAGGGCACTGTAGCTTTTAGCCAATGGTTCTCAAGCTGGAGTGACAAGGGCATTTGTTTTGGGCTATTTTCAGACCTGGCTTGATTGCTCTAGTGATTATTTTTAGGAGCAGGACAATGCACGCAGAGGTGACTTAAAATAAAATACAGTACCATGTCCATTTATCCATTTTAAATGCTTTTTTGAACCAAAAAGAAGGTATGTGGCACAGAGGAATCATCAATACCAGGCTTTAGTGTAAAGGCAAAGCAATACACAGTAGGACTGATTTATTCACTCATTTATTAAAAATACACGTTTACATATGTTAACATACAACTGCACTGTGTATGTAATTTTGCACTACTTAAGCCATGCTTTTTCATAAATGCTCAGCATGTATATGCATATCCAGAATTGCAACATTAGTGATGCCACTGTTTTTATAACTCCTGATATACCAAATGAGCTATCTGTAAAAGAACAAGCTATCTCATTGTTTTCATAGATACACTTGCCAATACAGTTTTTTGCCCTAATGGATGTTATGTTTTATATTTGCTTTTAAAAAATGTGTGATCGTGTGGATGCACTGAGGGGATTGCTGCTGAACTTCATTTTAAAAGGAATTCTATTTTATTAGTTCAGTGTTTTGATCTTTATGAACTAGAAAAATACACCAGACTAATAGTTTAAGGCACATCCTGCATTATCACCTGCCTTTTTCACCTGTGTCAAACTTTGCATTGCAAATATTCTTGATGAATTAGAAAAAAACAAACAAACTAAAAAATATCAGAACTAAAACTGCTCATGAACCTACCTGTTTTATCCTTGGTTATGCCGTCATTTTCTCTTTCAATAAAAATATATTTGACTAACTTTTCTTTTCTTTTCTTTACTGTATTCACAAAATGATGGTGCATCCATTAATAATTAAATGTAGGTGTAAACAAAACCACTAATTTGTGAATGAACATTGTTCCGGCGAGCGTTTTAAATAAAGTTTCTGTGAAATGACCTTCCACAGTCTTCATCCGGGCCTCTACACACATCACACCGCGCAGGCGCACTCTTCCACTGTGGTTCGACCTCTGCAGTCGGTAAGTGTGTAATGGCAGTTTGAATGAGAAGCGTATCTTTGTAAATCCCTTTTCATCCTCTCTCCCAGCTTCACATTGCAGCGCACAAGTGAGGACAGCATGCAGAATGAATGTGAATGTACATATGAATGCCTTTATTTTGTCTGTGGAGCATTTTTACACCCGTTTGACCTTACTTCTCTCCGGTCTTCCTTCCTCAGAGAGACCCGGGCTTCAACCAGATTTGACCGAACCGGTTAAAACTACCTAAACTAGAAAATGTACGCCTGTGCAAAGTTCGTCTCCACGCCGGCTCTGGTGAGTTTCTATTCTTCGGCGTGTTTCTGAGCTGTGAGTTTGACTCTTGCTATTTTGAATATCACGAATAACTCCGGTGGGCCTCTGGCTGAACTTGACTGCAGCCGACTGGCAAGGGTATCTGCGGAGTAGGCCAGCAGGTTAGCCCGCTAATGGTAAAGCATTGAATGTCAGACATCGTGCATGGAGGCTGTGCAGCTTTAATGTTTAGAGAGAAGGTGCATGCTAGTTAGCTTCAAATATGTGCCACTGTGGCATTGCCTAAGCTCACAGCGGACATTTTCAATGGTAGCCGTTAGCTAAGGTCATCTCTACCCTGTGTTAGCCGAATTTAGCCGCCAGTCCAGACTAAACTCACACACAGGCCTGAGCAAGGGACACACAAATGATAACTTTATACATTTGTGCATTGTTACTTGCAAAGTACATGTAGCCTGGGGTGCTTCTCATTTCCCAAGGTCATATTATTGGTTTTAGAGGCTCTAACAGGCTAACCAGCTTATACTACAATAGGAATGTATAATTGTCTGTCTTAATAGTCACGTTTATTTTATTATGTGGATGCTATAGGTTTGCACAAACTTTAAACTTAGCACAATTTGTACTTGCAGTCATTGAATGCCACAGGTCATGTACACTGTGTGCACTGCAGTGAATGACACTGTGATTGACCAAGTGACGTTCAAGGTGCCTTCCACCTGCTAGTGTGCCTGCAGACTGAGAATAGTTACTGACAATACAGTATGTTTTATGTCCTGTTGATTGTGTAGTGTGATTGAACCTGTTGTATCTGTGTGGCTGCTGCAGGTCCGTGCTGGTTCCCGGGCTCTTTACAGACCCCTGTCTGCCTCTGTGCTGTCCAGGCCTGATGGCAAAACAGAGGTAAGAAGATGACATGCAGGCTTTCAATGAGGACTGCACATTTTATTTTTTATTTTAGGTGAAATGTTTTTTGTCATTGTCTCTACAGATTGTTGGAAATGAGTGCTATCACAAATGTTTAGACTCTGACTTTAGGTTTTCTGTTTCGGCTTTTAAACTATTAAAAACTCAAGATCTGTATTTTGATTTAAAAGCTTTTAACTCCTTGTCAGCTTGATAGCTTTTCAGAGTGTCATGTTAATATTATGGGACTGTCATGAAAATTTAAACTGACACTCATACTGTTTGTTGCCACACTGTTTTGTGTATCAGCTAATAGCTTCTTTTTACACTTTAATTGAAAGCTGGACATTTACAGTCTTTGTTTTTTTCTTGCTACAGAGCAGTGTTGCTGTGATGCCACAGAGCCCCCTCAGCCAGGTCACACTGAGAGGCATCCAGACCAGTGCTGTCAGCAGGGACATTGACACTGCCGCCAAGTTCATTGGTGCTGGAGCTGCCACAGTCGGAGTAGCTGGATCCGGTGCTGGAATTGGGACAGTGTTCGGAAGTCTCATCATCGGCTATGCTAGGTTTGTTTTAATGTTTTGACAATACCAACATATATTCTTTAAACAATAATACATTTCCGATGCTTCCTCCAGATGCACTGACGGCTTCTTCTTGTTTGCAGGAACCCTTCTCTGAAGCAGCAGCTGTTCTCATATGCCATCCTGGGATTTGCCCTGTCTGAAGCCATGGGACTGTTCTGTTTGATGGTTGCTTTCCTTATCCTGTTTGCTATGTAAAACTCTGCTGTCAAACAACACTTTCATTACAGATGTGACTACATATTTTATTGTGGCTACCAAAATTGTTCCGTGTTGGTGTCATGGAAATGTACATTTTCAAGTCTTTCAGGCACTGTCGAAATAAGCAAAACATGTATTGTACAAATGTAAGAAATTACGTGATTAAAATACATGTATTTGACTATTTAACATTGGCAGTAACGTTTGTCTGGAATGTCATGCTAACACAAGAAGCAGTTGGCTTTCATGAATGTCATCTTTTCTGTGAAACAGCTGCTTAGACTTGACATAAATCAGCCTTGTTTTTTTTTTTTTTCAGAGCAAAACATACAAGCTTTATAGGGTCCACCTCAGTGAGTTCTTGGTTCAGCTGCAGTTAAACTGATACTGTAATTAGGCAGCAAGTGAGTGCTTGCTTTTGTAAATGCCACTGAATAAATCTAGATGATTTAATTGAGTTAAATAATGAGTTTTGACTTTTTTGCATCATGAAAGTCCCTGCAAGGATTCAAAAAGATGACAAATTGTAGTCATTGGACCTTTCTGTCTGTAAACAGCTGAAACAGTAAAGTCAACCTTTAAAAAAAAAAAAAAAAAAAAAGCCGGTTTTAGTAATTGTTTCTTAAAGCCTTTCTCAAGCAGTGAGGATTACCTTTATGTGTTTTGTAATTGTAAATTTAGTATTTTTAGGGTTTGGCTTGTCACAAAAGAATTTGAATACGTTGCTGTTAGTTTGGGGAACTGATACACATTTTACTTTTTATGACTGAATGGTTTTTACCCCCTAAGAAAATCCTTGGAAAGTTTTTAGTAGAGAGTTGCACCCCTAAACTTGGTGATTTAAAAGCTGAATGCCAAATAAAGGTAACCCCTGTAGCTGAGTTAGTTTAGGACACTGGGTAACATTTTAAAATGTCCATACTGGTAATTTTTTTTTAACATGTACTACATTATAGATATAGCTTTGGGTGAAAATATAGGATAAGTGACTCAATTTCATAGTTCTATAGTCATTCAGTAAGGAAGGGAAAGTTAATAAAGTTGACAGCTACCACAATGCAGTTTTTAGGTGAGATATAGACATTTAAATTATTCTAAAGCATCAAGGTGCAGTGTGACCAGAGTATACAACTTACACTAGGTGATGTTTAGGCCTCTAGAATCCAGAATATACACATGAAGAGCACACCTCTCTAAAGTTGAAGACATTCTGTGCTCGGTATACAAAAACATTATTACAAGTGATTTTAAAAAAGAACAGACATCTTTGTAATGCTTTTGAAACTTTTGGAAGAAAGTAGTGTTTTTATTATTATTATTATTCATTAAACATGTCTGGTGTGGATTTATCTACCTATATCTGTCTTAAAACTACTTTTGGAGTCAATGATAAAATAAGCATCTGGTTGGCCCCATCTCATATGCTCTGCCTATGGAGCTGCACCAGTGTGACGTTTACGGAAGACGCCAAGCTGCTCTCGCGATACTTTGATACAGCCGTGGGATTTTGGAAATCAAGGGTTGTGGCTGAGGGGTAAGTGACCACATAAACTCAAAGCGAATGGCTACAAAGCTGTGGTAAACGACATTATTTCTGGGTCCGTTAGGTACTTGTGCTCCGTCGCAAAGAAACGCTCTCGAAACAAACGTTGACATCTCCTCTGTTTACAGTCATATTTAGGTCCTAATATGGCGACGGTTGTATGTTAACGCAGGGCTCAGGCTATTCCATGGAAGCGACTGGAACAGATGATCGCTGGGCTCTGTAGTAACGTTGTAGGTGTTTGTTTGGTGGCGTGTCGATAAGCAGCGGTTATATTTACAGCACAGAAGCCGAAAGAGTCGGCGGAGAATAGCTGCGGATGTCCGCCTCAGTCAGTCGCGTGTTTGGACCAAAATAAATGAACCGAGAAGCGTCTTGTGATGACTCTGAGGTGTAAACAAGCGAAGCAGCCGCCCTTCACCGACAGGCTTTGTCCAGATATCCAGCTGTTTTTTCCTCCTACCTTCACAGTGTTACTTTAACCAGACACTACTCACATATCAGCTTCTTGCATGTGCTTTAATGGTTATGTTTTTTGCCATAACGGTTACTGTGCACCTTGAGGGACCAACAGTCATATTTGTAAACCCACTGACACACACAGAAATTCACATCCCCACGTCTAATATTTCACTTTTTTGTGTTTTCTTATAGGGTGAGGTAACAAATATGAGTGATGATAAACCTTTCCAATGTACTGCTCCTGGGTGTGGACAGGTAAGTCCTCTCTGTTATCACATACTGTTTATTACTCTGTCTATACATAGGCTAGATTGGACCATAAACATACTATGTTCAATCTCAATATAAACTCAAATATATGCTGTTAGAACTAAGATAAAAACAATTGTCCCCTATAGAAGACAGAGCAGCAGGATATCTTAATAATGCTGGATGTACTGCAACTATTCAAACACATTTACAACTATTTAATTAACCAAAAGCATAGTGTGACCCCTGAAGGTCCTACAGGGTCCTACGGAAGTTTCTTACTATGTTTGGTTGGTCATCCTGAGGTTTTACCATGATTAAATAATTTAGTTGCTATATTTTTTCTTTGTGATTTAAAAAGAAAAAAGTAAAATCATTTAGAAACATTTGTTCTTTGTAGAGTTTCCCTCTGTGTTGTGGTCTAAAATCTTAAAGTGTGTAGATTTCCTGCAATCGATTTTTTATATATTCATTTAGGTTTGTTTTTCTCGTTTTTATGGGTTACATCAGAATCAGAAACAGATTTATTGCCAGGTATAGTTTACACAATACGAAGAATTTGTTCTGCTGAGTTAGTGCAATAATAAATATTTCAATTCAATTCAATTTTATTTGTATAGCGCATATTTACAACAGCAGTCATCTCATAGCACCATAAAACTGTAGTATTATTTACAAGAGTATTGAGGATGCAGATATATTGATATTTACATTTATACATATTATCAAAGGAGTGCAGATTGAAGGTGTGGAGGTGCACCATGACCAATAACAGTGCAGATGATGAGATGCTCTGAGTTCTCTGTATCTAATCCTGTGTGATTTTAACTATAATGTAAAAACGAACCCTCAGATCCCCAAAACATTGAAGACATGCCATTTGTGCCATCAGTGTTAGCTTTGTGTACATAGTTGCCAGGTGAATACCCACTTAGCTAATGCATTCTGGTACAACACTCGGCAATAAATCCTGCTGTTGCTTTGTTAAAACTAATTTATACAGGTGTTGGCTTACCTTCATACTCATTTCAGAGGCTGTGGTTTTGCTGAATTATGTGTCATTGAAATTATTTCTGTTATTCAGTCCATGAACATATGTATAGAAACACCTTTTGAGTTTTTAGTAAGATTCAGGAGGTGACATCTCAACAAGGAACATGTCTTCCACAGAGTTAGAGTCAGCGGCACTGAAGATGTTTGAATAGAGTTTGTGTACAATAAGTAGAAGGTGTATTGTTTGTCAAAATGTTAGCAGCTGTACCTCAGTAAAAGCTCTAAGCGGAACTGTTTTTCCCAGACTTTATCCTGTAGATCATGTCTCATCATCCTATTTGTGTCGTGTTTTTGATCTTACACAGAGATTCACAAATGAAGACCACTTGGCCGTCCACAAACACAAACATGAGATGACGTTGAAGTTTGGCCCAGCAAGGAATGACAGTGTTATCATTGCTGGTGAGTGCTCTTCGGGTTGAGATCTTTAGATTTGATTGTTGCTCACTGTACTGAAGCTTTTCCTCCCCCTGCAGACCAAACCCCTACACCCACCCGCTTTTTAAAGAACTGTGAGGAGGTTGGGCTCTTCAACGAACTCGCGAGTCCGTTCGACCACGACTTCAAAAAAGCAACCGAAGATGACATTAAAAAGGTTGTTGTCATTGTTCAACCTGTCAGCACATCATCTGACCTGTCTTTATGTTCGGTTCTGTGCTGATCTGTGTTCCTCGCTGTTCCGTAGTTGCCCCTGGATTTGTCACCTCTCGCGACACCGATCATACGCAACAAAATTGAGGAACCCACAACTATAGAGGCACATCGAGACAGTCCTCTGCCTCACCCCGAGTCTACTACGAATGACGACAAGGTAGACATTTTAAATAACCTGCTTCTGGTATTTTTGCTAATCACAGAGCGATTAAAAGGCTGTGACGAAGAATGTTTCTGTGATCTGGAATTTGCACATCCACTGGTATAAATTGTCATGTTTGAAGTGTTTGGAATTTTTAATCAAATTTAAATATTATATTGTTCAAAAAAAATTACTCCTGTTCCTAATGTTCTGGAAAGTAGCAGCATCATATAACAGGTAATAATCAAGTAACCTGGTGTTCGTTCAACACTTACTACAGCTAAGGTCTTGTATGATGTTTCCAGGACTTATCTTTGCAGCCAGCCTCACTGCCAACATCCACTATAGTCCATCCTGCATCCCTCCAAGTTCCCAATGTACTTCTAGCAACCTCAGAGGCTAATGTTGTAATACAGCAAGCTCTCCCATCGCCAACATCTAGCTCTGTTATTACCCAAGTCCCATCTACTAATAGGCCTATAGTGTAAGTAACTCAATGTGTCCATTTTTTTAAACAAAAACAATCCTAGTTTTTATTAAATCATCCTTTCTTTTTCAAAATCATTTTTTGTGCAGTTTTGTCTTGATCAGCTCATAACTCATAAGGCATGTGCTTGTTTCTTTATGATTTATTCGAGCTCTGCAGGACCTTTTTTTTCCTCGCTGTAGACCGCACGTTCCATCGTCAAAGATCAAATCAGTGTTGCTCAAATATAAATCGAATGTTAGTTCATGTTGCTTATTTAATTCTGAGTGGTGAAGGAAATGAGTGGAGTTTTCACAGAATCATTGCTGCCAGTGTTCTTACTTTAAAGCTTTATTTTGCCTTCCTTTATTTTACCTCCTGCTAATTGTTTGATGATTTTAGCATTTGGCAGAGGTGCAACATCAAAACCTCCGGGGAGCTGTGGTGGTTAAACTCTAGCTTCAGTTATTGTTTTGCTTTTTTGAGGCAGGAAGAGACTTAGACACCAGTTTAACTGAGAGAATGGGCAGTAACTTACTGAAAAACGTTGTGGGTCACAGTATAGTGAAGCACAAGCAAGCCAGCATGTTGTATTTATCATTGCTTTGTAAAACTAAGTGCTTTTCACACCTGCAGTAAGTTTCTTAGGTTACAGTTAAGGTAAACACTGCATTTGCACATGTATCTACACATTGCATTTTAAACCTGTGTGTGTGGAGCTCAGCCATATAATTAAAAAAGGATGAAAAAACATAGAACTTTCCAGCAGTTCTGCTTGAATGTGATAATGACTTGAAGAACTGTTGGTGCAAGTTCAAGAGAAGTTTTGCATTGGCAAAAATAGGAATAAAATATGTAAATAAATGCTTGAGAACACTGACATAGATGATTTATTGTGAAAACCCAACATGTTTCCTGGACCGTAGAATCACTTGGAAACCAGTGGTACATATGTGGGCAATACTGATGTCATTAGGTTTGATGTGACTGTAAGGTCAAGTGTTCATTTAATTATATCGTTTCCTTCTGTTATGCAACAGGTGTATTTTTAAGTTGTTTTTTTAGTTGGGTTTTGTCTTGATTACATTTTACTTTCCATCAGTTGTTGCCTGCGATTGACATTATCTTTAATTTATTAGTAATCCGACGTGTCTTTAATTTATAACATGTTGTGTTTTTTGTGTTAATCAGAACGGTGCTTGTTGTTTACTTCATTGTGATTTCTTTCCTTTCTTCTTTCAGCCCGGTGTCTGGCACCTTCCCCGTGCTCTTACAGCTGCCTAATGGCCAGACCATGCCAGTTGCTATACCTGCATCAATTACAAGCTCAAGTGTACATATTCCAACTACAATCCCTGTGAGTGTTCTGTCCAGTTTATTGTGTCCACACTGTGCTTCAGTATGTTAAAGCAGAAATATGAAATCAGCATTCAGCTTTCTGGTCATTTCTGTTACAAAAGCATGCAGCACTCTTTACTCTCTAAACAGATAGGTGTGTCACTAACAAGTGAAAATGAGTTATTTATTAACAAAGCAGTGTCATTGTGAAATCCATTAACTGCACTAACAGCTCTGTTTCACTGACTGTTTATTAATGACATTTTACATCTGATTTGGATGGACAGTTGTACACATCAGTGAAATTGAAATCCTTTTAAAGTGACATTCATATTATTATTATACTACTTACACTATTACACTTACAGTGTAGCGAAGCATTAATATCACTATTTTCTTCACTCTACTTGGACTGTTTACAGCTTTGGCACCTCAGATCTGGCAGCCTGTTTAAAGCCAAAGAGGTTGAGTGAAATAATGGACTTTAGAGTACAACTGAGTGTCACTGTGGCAAAGACTCAGGATTTGGCTGAGGCACAGCAGGCTTCAGTCCAGCATACTTTACAGCTATTTGTCCTTGTACAATTAAAATCTTGATTTCTGGCGGAGCAGATTGACGACACCATTGATGTGTTTCGCAAACTTCAGCCCATGACAGCATCGCATATAGGAAATATGTTGTAAACGAAGGTCTGCTTGGTATTTTTTGAACTCCCCCATGTGGAAGCTTGTCTTATTGTTCACTGTAGTCCTGATTGTCTGTGTGGAACACTGAGCAGCAGATGATTATCTCCTGATAGCTGCACAGCAGGGAAAAAACCTCTATCTTCCCAGTCTGTGGGGATAGGGAAAGGCTTTGACAAGCAAAGGAGGGCAAAAGTAGATGGAGAACATGAGCCACCAGTGGGCCTCCCTTTCAGTCCATCATCTCCTCCTCCCCCCCCGCTCTCTCTCTCTTCTCTCCCTCTCCAGCTCTCCCCACCTCCCCTCTGTCTCATTGTCAGCGGCTGTGAGAGGAGGCCTGAGTCTGGCCTTCTGACTCATGTCTCTCCATCCTCTCTTCAGCTTCCCTGTCCATATGCTCTCACGCAGGCACGCAGAGGTTCATTAGCGTGCACACTGCATCTCCATGTGGCGCTGCCTCCACAAAATAACAGGCCATCCAACCTAATGAGGCTGAGATATGAGGAAACTCTGAGAGCCTGCCATGGTTGTGTGTGTGTGTGTGTGTGTGTGTGTATGTGTGTGTGTTTGTGTTGTGGTGGAGCGCTGCCTGCCTTTTTACCGCCGTAGACTAATTTTCTCTGTGCTGATCTGTGTCTTTGTCTCCGCTGTCAGCTTGTCAGACCTGTCACCGTAGTGCCTAACGTCCCCGGAATCCCAGGACCTCCCTCGCCACAGCCTCAGCCCGCCCAATCAGAAGCAAAGCTGGTATTTATTATCCCTTCTTTTGCTCACATCAAATATCATTTCCATGTTGAATCTGTAATTTCCCATCTGAGAGGGATGATAACAACCAAGGTAATGAGAGAGCCTAATGATAAGGGAACAATAATACGATGAGGCTGGTTTCTTTTAGAAGGATGAGGGTGCTGCTGGAAGACCGGGTCTGCAGGAGACTGATGTTAGTCTCCATGTGGACGTGTAGCTGAGTGACGGAAAATTAAACAAAAATAATAGTTATTTCTTAAACCAAATGCCAAAAATAATAATAACAGATAAATAAAATGCATTTGTGTGGTACCACTACTTTGCAGAACTGGATTTAAAATGATGTTAAGCCAGAATTAAAATAAACAGAAACAAAAAATAAAAGCTTTGAAAGCAGCATGAAAAAACAATAAAACAGAATAATGGTTATTTTTGTGGAAGTGCTTTTTTTTTTTTAAATTATTGTTCATTAGGGCCTTTTTTTCAGCTATGTTCTGACATTTGTAGGCCAGTGATTAATCTTTCAATTAAGAAAATAATCCACAGATTAATCAATAATGAAAACAATCATTAGTGCCAGCCCCACTGATTTAGCATAATCCAGCGACGAGCAAAAACAGACGTGTTGCAGGTATTTCTCTGTGGGGAGAAGACGGTCACAGCAGTCTTGTTGTCCTGTATTAAAAGTGATAGTTGAAGGGCAGGGATATAAAGTGTTGTGAAGGAGATCGGTGGCAATGTGATGAAGCACGGATCACAGAACCTGTAAGTGTTCGCAGCATGCTCCGCCTGTGGAAATTAACAGATAAACTGCGGAGAGGAGGTGTGTGTGTGTGTGTGTGTGTGTGTTGGGAGGGAAGGATTGATCCTGACTGGCGAGGATGAAGGAGGAAGGAGGGGAGGGGCAGGGAGTTGTCGGAGATCATGGGGTACGGAGATGACAAACGCGTAGACAGCGTTGCGCTCAGCACGCCGTCACCAGGGCCAACCAGGGGAGGAGGGGGGGGGGGCAACCTGCGAAAGCCAGCTGGGGGCATCTTGGCACACGCTCAGCGAGGCACATTAAGTCGGCCTCACCCTGCATGGAACCTTTTGTTCAGCAGAATCCTGCCTGACCTGCATCCCCCCTCTTACTCACGGCGCCTCCCACCGCACTCAGCTCATCAGCAAACACCTAATGAGCCTGCGTCAAGAAAACAGACCCCCAGCTCAACCTGCGCGCTCCCCGCCCCCACCCGGCTCTCGGGGGGCGCGGAGACGGCACTTTACAAGGACTGATGATGCTGCAAAGACCACAATAATGATAATTAACTTGCTGAATTTAGAAGATTATGCTGTTAATTAGTTGCAAAATAAAGATAAGTAATATAGTAGCAGATGGTTGAATAACACCCATGAGATGGAGGGTTATTACACTGATGAGGTTTCCATGGCAGAGATGAAATATGAATCTGACTGGCTTTTCCCTCTTTCTATGGGCCATTCCAAGAGAATAATATCTTGTTTCTGCCAGAAGAGCTTCTGGAAGGGTATTACACGATAAACTAATTTGGTAGATAGATTGGCCTGGCAAAGGTAGTTGTTAGAATAATGTGGTCCTCTGTTTTCTCATGTAAATGTATTCCCTCTCACTTTGTTATTGCTTTGAAAGGCTCATTCACTTTCACCTTGTTTGCTCAGTGTTTGATGCTGGAGGAATTGACCTGTGAATCACAGACACCAATCTGTGGAGGAATAGTTTCTGTGAATGGGATGTGTTTGTGTGTGATTGGTGGAAGTGTTTTTTTGATAGTTATGTGCTGCAGCCATACTGTTGGTTTCCAGATTCGACAAAATAAAAGTGAGGAGTGTGTTACATGCTTGCATCGATAGCGTTGCGGTTTTGGAATTAAATTTCAACTATGTTTTCTAAAATTATTTTCAGTTCTTTACTCATTCAGTTTTTTTTTTTTAGATCATTTTTTTCTTAGCTTAATTTCATTATTTTTTTTAGTGTCTTATTTATAACTTATTTTTTGTGGAAAACTGTAGGAGGCAGATATTTCACATAATCTTCACCCCTGTTGATTTTGTAAACAGCCCTGTTCTCTGCTGATTGCTCTAAACTCAGACGCCTCATTGATGAAGGATGCTGAAGTCCGTTCACTGACTGCTAAATTCACATGCTAGATCTGTGCTGTTAGTCGTCTCAACTGAACTATTCTGAGCACAGTTTTTTGCAGGTGTGTTCTGAGAATTTCTCTTTAATTTCATCTTCCCACAGCTGTCCGAAGACAACGAACACATTTGATAGTTAAAAAAAAAATCTGACACACTGCTTTCTTATTTGCATTTCAGAGACTTGAGGCATTCCACAATTTCAAACACGCACATGTACAAATTAGATGACATCCTAATGTGTTTAATGTGCTAAAATCAGCCTGGGTAGACTTGTGCCATAACCACATGTGGGGCATTATCTCCTTGATGTAACTGCACAAGGAATTTCCAGAAATCCAAGTGAAAAATCTGCAGTTTGTTCCTGTGAAGTATATACAGTGCATTCAGAAAGCATTCAAAGCTTTTACATTTTTGCATACTTGATTGTATGCTTTTATAAATTCTTTGCAAATTTATTGAAAGAAGGCTGTCAAAGGGTGAGCATCTCTGCAGCACTATACCCATCACTCCTTTATGGTGGCGTAACTAGGCAAATGCTACACTTTAATAACAGCCCAGTTCTATTTAAAAGCACACGTGATAAACCGTGACTGTTAAACACCATCACCTCCTAATACCACTCATATAGTAAAGCATGGTGGTGGCAGCATCATGCTATAGCGGTGGTTCTCAGCAGCAGGGATGGGAAAACTGATCCCAATAAAATGAATAATGAATATAACCAAATAGAGAAGGTCATTAAAAAAAACAACTTTATTTGAGTGCACATGACCAACGACTAAGGTGAGCTTTATCAGCACCATAATGACCCGAAGCACACAGCCAAGCGCGGCCCCACCAGGAGATAAGACTTTAACCCAGCAAAAAAGATGCAAAGTGTATAGAGCCGTACCCAAGAAGTGCAGTTGCTGCTAAGTTTTTTTTTTTTTTTTTTTAGACTTTCAGATTATTTAAAGCTAAGAAACCTAAAATTACAAAGCTGCTCTTTTTAAAACATTTATTTGGATTTATTATTTTTTAATTTGAATCAATGTTCGTAACCTTTCTCATCAGTCCCAAGATAGGAATTGCACATCTTCCAAATGTATGGTTTTGCATCTTTTCATAGTATTTATTATATTTTTTTTCTTGTATTAATTTAATGGCCTTTTCTTTTTGTCTGTGCCAAATTCCTTTCCTAGAAACTAAAAGCCACGTTAAGCCAGCAGCTTCCTCAGGTAACCAATGGAGATGGTGTCGAAGTCCAAAGCAGTGCTGTAACCCACACTGCTGCTCCTGCTTCTCCTGTCCCGACTCCAACCCCAACTCCAGCTCCGACCGCGGTCCTAACTCCGGCTCCAACTCCGGCTCCTCACCTGCCCACAACAGAGGAACCCTCTCCCCACTCTCTGCAGCAGCCAGCCACCTCCACCACAGAGACACCTGTAAGTACTCACCACTGTGGTGTTTGTTAGACGTATTTTGTGTATCTTAAACCTGTGGGTATGTGTGCATGTATTGTTGTTTATCAGAGTGTTGTTTATAAAGAGCAGGACACCACATTTACTGGTCTGTTACGTGGTTGAAGTCTCAGACGTTCAGACAGGTGTTATGTAGAGCAGACAGATTTATAATGCTGTTTATTTGTTCCTTAATCACAGTTTCTGATGAAATAGTTTTCTTACTACTTATTAAGGCAACATCCTGGTACAGGAGTGACAGCGCCCCTTTGTTGGAACATGAATGGAAATAAAAGCTTTTTTCATAATCAGTTGGCGAACATGGCAAAAATGTTTAGAACATATTCTTTGTAAATATCTTGTTTATTTTAAATCGTAATCTCCATTATATGGATCTATAGTGTATATAGTGTGTGTGTAGCTGTATTATTTTTCTCAGCTCTTCCTATTTATAGTTTAATTGTTCTCTTTTTCTTCCAGTCACTTTTTTGTGCTCTTTCCTGTATCTATACTGTTGCTGAGTTTCCCCATTGGTGGTGAAAAATAAAGTGCAACCCAATCTAATCTAATCTAATCAAACTAATGTACTCTAATCTATCTAATCTAGATCTTTGCAACCGTTTTCCTAAAGAACCAAGCAAACCTGCCTTGTTGAATGATCTACCAGGTAGTTTTCGAGCATTGAAATTGTTGTTTCCAGTAGTGAAAGAGATTTTAAACACAGGAATAAGTAGATAGCAGAAGGTAAGAGGACGCCACATGATAAATGTGGCCACTGGAAGGCTTGTACCCACAGTCTATATTCAGTAAGTCAGACTAGAAGAATATATTATTGTGTCAGTACCAAAACCCCGGTGTTGTGTCTTTACAGATATGAAAGAAATTCTAATAATATCTCAGACCTCATGTACAGCCACATCATTGTGCATTATCAGTCAGCACTTATAATAATAATATAATAATAACAATAATTTGTGTCTGAACTTAAACCTGTTGTAGGCACAGCATTATCAGATATTTAAAAAAAAAACAAAAAACTTGTATCTGGATTTTATATTAAGTCTTTCTCTAAACTGACACCTCATATCAGTATATAATGTGCTCAGTGATAACCGCTTCGTATTGATGTCACATTACAGACATAGTTGGTTTGCTCTGCTAGTTATTGCCCTGTTATATTCTTATTGTTAGCATTGTTGTTGTTGTTTTTATTGTACAGGCTTCCCCAGCTCCCCCTGCGCCAAACCCTCCAAGCACAGGGGGTCGGCGGCGCAGAACCACAAGTGAAGACCCTGATGAGAAACGGCGTAAGTTCCTGGAGCGGAACAGGGCTGCAGCTTCTCGCTGTAGGCAGAAGAGGAAAGTGTGGGTCCAGTCTTTGGAGAAGAAGGCTGAGGA